CTTCAAACAGCCTGGGGCAAAGGTGCATGTGCCTTGCTCTCCACTCTCTGTTGGGGCATAGTAGGAAGGGCAGCTGCACGGGGAGGGTACACTGAGATCCTGAGTATGGTCCACGAGTGAGTCCCATCCTGTTCCCTTCAGCCCCGTCTGTCCCGTCTCGTCATGTCCCATCCAGTCCCATCTTATCCTGACCCATCCCATCCCCTCCCATTCATTCCATCCCATCCCATCCCACCCTGCCCCACCTGCACCACCCCATTCCCATCCCACCCCATCATTTTTAGCTCGCTAGGAGCACTTCTATTAGCTTTTTCAGCTTTTTCAATCCCTACCCTCTAAGGAAACAAAACCTGGATTGAAACTAAGAGGAAACTCAACAAAAGTTTGTACAGGAGAAGGCAGCCTCTGAGAGCTGAGCTGGCCGGCCCTCCTCCTTGAACAGAAACAATGACAAAGAGCAACAATGTCCAACAAGGCCACTTTGTGACTGTGACAGAACACGACAGAAATAAGACCCCTCTGCGTGAGCACAGACGAAACCAAGAATACTGGCCAAACCACAAAAATAAACCAACATCTGCCTCCCCCAGCCAATGGGAGTGGCGACGATTTCTTTACCAACTACAGCGTCAGCTTGGTTTCATTCCTCTGCCTCTAGGTCAGAATCCTAAAGATACTCCAAGGTCTTCGATCATAGAATTTCCTGCTCCCTGATTGCACCTGGTGGAGAGGAAATCCCCACTTCTCTGAACCCATCCCAAAGTCACTAAAACACAACCCTGCAGCTTCCTTCTAATACAACCCTCCTACTAGGACGTGCTGTGGCTCCCCAGGAGTGTGGTCTCCCCACCATGGGTGCATCAGCGGATGTAGCTCTGTGGCTGCAGGTGTCTTTCCAGTGGTCCTTAGTGATGGCATCAGCTGGCTCAAGGGTGCTCCTATGAGAGCAAGGGTCTTTCTTACAGTGCTCTGAGTCAGGTGCTCTTTCTTCCAGCCCCCAGTCATATCTCTGCCATCAGCTCCATGACCTTGAGCAAGTCCCTAACCTGGGAGTCTTGGCGTCCCTGGCTGCAAAACTGAGCAGGACTTGCCTTGCTGCCACTCCTGGGAAGGGAGGATGGAGTGAGACACTGCCTGTGAAGGTGGCTGCGAGGATTCTGACCCTTGCACAGGGTCACCGTGGAATTTATTTTCAACTTCTGAGAGTGAAAAGGGACATTATTGCTAACTACACTGAGGCACAGGTATAAACTGGGCCTCTCGCCAGCAAAATGGGAGGGAAGGTGACCTGGCCTCAGAGGATCTATTGGAAATGAAGGCAGAGAAGGTGTGAGGAGCCTCTGGGAGTTGATGGGTGTAGCGGGGTGAATGAGGGTCCCCCAGAAGACATGCACATGTCCTAACCCTCAGAACCTGTGAATGTGACCTGATCTAGAAAAAGGGTCTTTCCAGATGTCATTAAATTAAGGATCTTGAGATGAGTCATCCTGGATTACCTAGGGGGTCCCTAAAGCCAAAGACCAAGTGTTTTTATGGAAACAGAAGAGGACAGAAGACCCAGGGCATAGAGAAGCCATGGTGGCAAGCACTGGAGCGCTGTGGCCACAAGCCAAGGAATCCTGGAGCCACCAGGAGCTGGAAGAGACGGGAAGGATTCTCTCCTAGATCCTTTGGATGATGTCCAGTCCTGCTGACATCCTGATTCTGGACTTCTGTCTTCTAGAATTGTGAGAGGATAACTTTCTGTTGTTTTAAACATCAAGTTTGTGGTCACTTGTTATGGTAGCCCTGGAAAACCAATCCAGGGAGCAGGGGGGCCTTTAAGGACAGTCACCCCAATGTTCTGTCCCTCCCAGGGACTCTCTCTGGAATTGCATTATTCGGTTGCAAGAGAGGTCACCTGCCAGCTCCCCCATCCTGGCCCGGGTTTCAGCCTTGCCCAGGCCTGCAAGCATCTCTCCCGGAGTGCTGAGCCCCAGATTCACACGTTGCCCCAGCCGTGGGGAGGGGGCAGCTGTCTAAGCAGCTGAGGATCCGAGGATTGTTTTGTGTGGCAGAGAAGAGCCTAATCCTATCTGTTTTAGGGGGCACCCGGCCAGGCCCTGGCCCAGGACTAGAGAAGCTGTGGGAAGTAGGTCAGCAGGTCAGCCTAGGAGCCAAATGGAAGCAGGGTCAGGGGAAGGTGAAGTCAGAGGCCTGTAACCTCCGCTTTCTTTTCTTCTTCCTCCCCCTTCCCCCGCTTCCCCCCTTCCCCACCCCCTTCTTTTGAGATAAGGTCTCTGTCACCCAGGCTGGAGTGCAGTGGTGTAATCTTGGCCCACTGCCACCTCTGATTCCTGGGCTCAAGCAATCCTCCCACCTCAGCCTCCTGAGTACATGGAACTACAGGCACCAGCCACCATGCCTGCCTAATTTCTTGTATTTTTAGTAGAGACAAGGTCTCACCATGTTGGCCAGGCTGGTTTCAAATTCCTGACCTCAGGTGATCTGCCCGCCTCGGCCTCCCAAAGTGCTGGAATTACAGGCTTGAGCCACCGCGCCCGGCCCCATGTGCTGCCCCTTAGTAGTCAGTGCTTCCCCCCAAGCCCTGGCGCCACTGATCTGTTCTCTGTTCCTATGGTTCTGCATTTTACAGAATGTCAGGTAAATGGAATCCTTCGATATGTAGTCCTTTGGATCTGTCTTCTTTAACTTAGCAAAATGCTTGTGAAATTCTTCCATGTTGTGATTTAAGTGTGAATCAATTGTTTCCTTTTTGCTCTTGAATAGTATTCTACTGCATGACGTAACCGTTTATTTATCCATTCACCAGTTGAGGGACATCTGGGTTATTTCCCATTTTGGGAAATTCTGAATAGAGCTACTATGAACATTTTCATGCAGATTTAGTATAAACATAAGTTTTCATTTCTTTTGAGTAAATACTTAGGAATGGGATTGCTGGATCACATGGTAAGTATATGCTTAATTGTAAAAGAAGCTGCCAGAGGTTTCCAAAGTGGCTGTACCATTTCTCATTCCCACCAGCTTGCTTGTTCAATTGTTCTAGACATTCGTTGAAAAGACGATTTTTCTCCATGGAATTACCTTTGCACCCTTGTTAAAAATCAATTAACTTATGAGGGTGGGTCTATTTCTGGACTTCCTATTCTGTTCTGTTAAACTATTTTTCTATCCTTTGCCAATTCCACAGTCTTAATTACATTAGCTTACTAGTAAGTCTTAAAATCAGGTAGTGTGAGTCTGCTAAATTTGGTCTTCTTTTTTTCAACATTGTTTTGGTTGTTCTAATTTCTTTGCCTTTCTATGTACCTTTTACAATCAGCTTGTTTATATCTACAAAAAAATTCCATTGGGGTTTTCAAGAGATTGTGTTAAATTTATAGATCGATCTGGGGATAGTCGACATCTTAACAATATTGAGTCTTTTTTTCCATGAATACTCTGTGTATGCACTTATCTTTGATTTCCTTCAGTTATATTTTATAGTTTTCAGCAGACAGATGCTACACATGTGTTATTAGATTTATACTTAAGAATTTCATTTTGGGGTACTATTGTAAATGGTACCTTAAAAATTTTTTAATTGTAATTTTTCATATTCTTCATAGCTGGGGTATATAAAATGCAACTGAATTTTTTTTTTAGAGGCAGGGTTTCACTTTATCACCCAGGCTGGAGTGCCATAGTGTGATCATAGCTCACTGCAGTCTTGAACTCTTGAACTCCTGGACCCAAGTAATCTTCCCACCTCAGCCTTCCAAGTAGCTAGGACTATAGGAATGCACCATCATGCTTGGCTAATTTTTTATTTTCATTTTTTGTAGAGGTGGGGGTCTCACTATGTTGTGCAGGCTGGTCTTGAACTCCTGGCCTCAAGTGATCCTCTTACCTTGGCCTCCCATGGCCTCCCAAAGTGCTACAGTTAGAGGCATGAGCCATGAAGCTTAGCCTATAATTGATTTTTATATGTTTATCTTGTATAAGGAGCATTTTGTAGATTCTCTGGGATTTCCCACAGAGATAATCATGTTATCTGGGAATGGAGACCATTTTATTTATTTACTACCAGTCTATATGCCTTTTGTTTCTTTGCCTTGCCTATTGTATTGCACAGAAATTCCAGTGCAGTGTTGAAAAAGAGGGGTAAAAAAGGGCAGTCTTCTCTTACTCCTAATGTTAGGGGGAAAGGATTTAGTGTGTGACCATTAAGTATGCTGTTAGCTGTAGGTTTTTTTTTTTCTTTGTTTTGTTTTTTTTGTTTTGTTTTGCTTTTTGAGATGGGTCCCTGAAAATTTTATGGAGTTTCCACACCAGCTCCAGATATTGCTCACCCCTGGAATTACTCTACCCAAGTATTATAGAATAGATCTGTGGATGTTTGAGCCACTTTTACTGGGGGAGGAGGGATTCAGTTATATGCAGCTGAGGCCAGTCTTGATCCTGATGAGGAGGATTAGATAGGGAAAGGCAGAGGGGAGAAGAAAGGGCATTTAGCAGAGGGATGAGGAGCAAGGCTGGAGGGAAGCCTGGGGAAGATGAATTGGAGTGGAGACCCTTTTTCTGTGTAGGGCAGTAGTGGGAGGTGGGTTTGGTGGGAGCCAAACTCTAGAAGGCCTTAAAAGAATCTAAATGCGGGCTGGCGTGGTGGCTCAAGCCTGTAATCCCATCACTTTGGGAGGCCGAGGTGGGTGGATCACGAGGTCAAAAGATCGAGACCATCCTGGTCAACATGGTGAAACCCCGTCTCTACTAAAAACACAAAAAATTAGCTGGGCATGGTGGTGCGTGCCTGTAATCCCAGCTACTCAGGAGGCTGAGGCAGGAGAATTGCCTGAACCCAGGAGGTGGAGGTTGTGGTGAGCCAAGATCGCACCACTGCACTCCAGCCTGAGTAACAGGAGCGAAACTCCGTTTCATTAAAAAAAAAAAAAAAAAAAAAAAAAAAAAAGAATCTAAATGCAAGAAGCGCTCTCCACTGTAGTCCTCTTCAGCTCGACATGGTGGCCTGCCGGGTGATTGGCATCCTCAGCCGCTTCTCTGCCTCCAGGATCCTCCGCCCCCAAGGTTATATATGCCTTGTACAGAGTCTTCTGCTTTGCTGACCAGAACCCATATTAACTATGGAGTCAAAGGGGATGTGGCAGTTATTCAAATTAACTCTCCCAATTCAAAGGTAAATACACTGAGTAAAGAGCTGCGTTTAGAGGTCATAGAAGTTATGAATGAAATCCGGCCTAGCGATCAAATCAGAAGTGCCGTTCTTATCTCATCAAAGCCAGGCTGCTTTATTGCAGGTGCTGATGTCAACATGTTAGCTGCTTGCAAGATCCCTCGAGAAGTAACACAGATCTCACAAGAAGCACAGAGCACACTTGAGAAACTTGAAAAGTCCACAAAGACTACTGTGGCTGCCATCAGTGGATCCTGCCTGGGAGGAGGACTTGAGCTTGCTGTTTCATGCCAATACATAATAGCAACAAAAGACAGAAAATAGGATTAGGTACCCCTGAAGTCTTGTTGGGGATCTTACCAGGAGCAGGGGGCACGCAAAGGCTGCCCAAAATGGTGGGGTGTCTGCTGCTTTTGACATGATGCTGACTGGTAGAAACATTCGTGCAGACAGGGCAAAGCAAATGGGACTGGTTGGCCAATTGGTGGAACCCCTGGGACCAGGACTAAAACCTCCAGAGGAACGGACAATCGAATACACAGAAGAAGGTGCAATTACTTTCGCCAAAGGACTAGCTGATAAGAAGATCTCTCCAAAGAGAGACAAGGGATTGGTGGAAAAATTGACAGCATATGCCATGACTATTCCACTTGTCAGGCGACAGGTTTACAAAAACGTGGAAGAAAAAGTGCGAAAGCAGACTAAAGGCCTTTATCCTGCACCTCTGAAAATAATTGATGTGGTAGAGACTGGAATTGATCAAGGGAGTGATGCTGGTATCTCTCTGAATCTCAGAAATTTGGAGAGCTTGCAATGACCGAAGAATCAAAGGCCTTGATGGGACTCTACCATGGTCAGGTCCTGTGCAAGAAGAATAAATTTGGAGCTCCACAGAAGGATGTTAAGCATCTGGCTATTCTTGGTGCAGGGCTGATGGGAGCAGGCATCGCCCAAGTCTCTGTGGATAAGGGGCTAAAGACTATACTTAAAGATACCACACTCACTGGGCTAGGCCAAGGACAGCAACAGGCATTCAAAGGATTGAATGAGAAAATGAAGAAGAAAGCTCTAACATCATTTGAAAGGGATTTCGTCTTCAGCAACTTGACTGGGCAGCTTGATTACCAAGGTTTTGAAAAGGCCGACATGGTGATTGAAGCTGTGTTTGAGAACCTTAGTCTTAAGCACAGAGTGCTAAAGGGAGTAGAAGCGATGATTCCAGATCACTGTATCCTTGCCAGTAACACATCCCTCTCCCAATCAGTGAAATCGCTGCTGTCAGCAAAAGACCTGAGAAGGTGATTGGCATGCACTACTTCTCTCCCGTGGACAAGATGCAGCTGCTGGAGATGATCACAACCGAAAAAACTTCCAAAGACACCAGTGCTTCAGCTGTAGCAGTTGATCTCAAGCAGGGCAAGGTCATCACTGTGGTTAAGGATGGACCTGACTTCTATACCACCAGGTGCCTTGCACCCATGATGTCTGAAGTCATCTGAATCCTCCAGGAAGGAGTTGACCCGAAGAAGCTGGATTCCCTGACCACAAGCTTTGGCCTTCCTGTGGGTGCCGCGACACTGGTGGATGAAGTTGGCGTGGATGTAGCAAAACGTGTGACAGAAGATCTGAGCAAAGTCTTTGGGGAGCGATTTGGAGGTGGAAACCCAGAACTGCTGGCACAGAGGGTCTCCAAGGGCTTCCTAGGTCGAAAGTCTGGGAAGGGCTTTTACATCTGTCAGGAGGGTGTGAAGAGTAAGAATTTGAATTCTGACATGGATAGTATTTTGGCGAGTCTGAAGGTACCTCCAAAGTCTGAAGTCTCCTCAGACGAAGACATCCAGTTCTGCCTGGTGACAAGATTTGTGAATGAGGCAGTCATGTGCCTCCAGGAGGGGATCTTGGCCACACCTGCAGAGGGAGACATCGGAGCGGTCTTTGGGCTCGGCTTCCCGCCCTGTCTTGGAGGGCCTTTCCGCTTTGTGGATCTGTATGGCGCCCAGAAGCTAGTGGACTGGTTCCAGAAGTATGAGGCTGCCCATGGAAAAGAGTTCACGCCCTGCCAGCTGCTGGCTGACCATGCTAACAGCCCTGACAAGAAGTTCTCCCAGTGAGCAGGTCTCACGCCTCACTCAGTCAGTGCACCAACCCCAGCTGCCAGCAGTGCTGCTTCTCCAACAGAGTGGCTTCTGGATTTATCAGAGTAACGAGAAGGAAGACAAACCCCGGCACTGGGTGTGCTTCCCAACTAACGTGCCTTCAGCCAAGACCACCTCTCCCTCCTGGTGAAGTCTGTGAATCAGAGTTTGCACTTCCTATTGCAAGTGGAATCCACTGTGCTCATCGTGTGAGTCCCGAGACCCAGAGTGGCAGCCAAGAGCCGTCTGGAGCCATCTCTGTGCCTGTGCCTCCCAGGAGGCCAGGGTGGTCAGGGGTGGTGAGGGCAAATTCTGCACCCAACCAAACACATAAAAATAAAAACCAAACTCTGTAAAAAAAAAAAAAAAAAAAAAAAAAGAATCTAAATGCTACTAGCCTGCTGGAAACTTTGGTGAGTTGCTTTCTTTTTCCCGGCCTGCTTCCTCATCCATAAAACCTGGGGATTTACTTGGATCAGAATCTTTTAACCTGAAGTTCATGGACAGATTTCACGGGAGTCTAAGAACCTCCTGCCAAATCATATATGTTTTGAATCTATGTGTGTTTTTCCGGAGAGAGGCCCACAATTTTAATCAGATTCTTTAAAGGTCTGCGGCTCCCAAATAGTTAAAAACACTAACGCAGATGCTTCCCGCACTGACTTTGTTATGTGCGCTAAAAGGAGCCTTTGGGGTGTTCTAGGGAGCAGAGAAGTGAACATGGTAAAATTAAGGTTTTGGGTGCCTACAAATCATTTTTAATCTGATAACAAATACCTGTATAAAATGTGTTTTTAAAAGCTAAAATGCAAGAAAAAGAGAATTAAAACTTTTCTGTAACTACTCCACCCTATGAGAACTATGGTATGGTAGCCTCTTGGTTTTAAACATATACTTGCACACACACACACACACACATATATATATATATATACACATATATAAACATATACTTGCACATACATATATATGCATGCACATATATATATATGTGTATATATATACACACATATATAAACATATACTTGCACATACATATATATACATGCACATATATATATACATGTATATATATATATATTTTTTTTTAGGCAGAGTCTTGCTCTGTCACCCAGGCTGGAGTACAGTGGCATGATCTTGGCTCACTGCAATCTCTGCCTTCCAGGTTCAAACAATTCTCATGTCTCAGCTTCCCAAGCTGGGACTGCAGGTTCATGCCACCATGCCCAGCTGATTTTTGTATTTTTAGAAAAGACAGAGTTTTGCCATGTTGGCCACGCTGGTCTCGAACTCCTGACCTCAGGTGATCTGCCCATTTTGCCCTTTCAAAGTGCTGGGATTACAAGTGTGAGCCACCGTGCCCGGCCTATATGTATATTTAAAAAATAAAACTTGGATCACCTAAGCGTACTGCTTTGTAACCTGCCCTTTCACTTAGCAACATGCAGTGAACATATATCCACACTCTAAAGTGTTTTTCTGTGATATCCATTTTCTTTCTTTCTTTCTTTTTTTTTTTTTTTGAGACGGAGTTTCGCTCTTGTTACCCAGGCTGGAGTGCGATGGTGAGATCTCGGCTCACCGCAACCTCCGCCTCCTGGGTTCAGGCAATTCTCTTGCCTCAGCCTCCTGAATAGCTGGGACTACAGGCACGTGCCACCATGCCCAGCTAATTTTTGTATTTTTAGTAGAGACGGGGTTTCACCATGTTGACCAGGATGGTCTCGATCTCTTGACCTAGTGATCCACCCACCTCGGCCTCCCAAAGTGCTGGGATTACAGGCATGAGTCACTGCGCCTGGCCCTGTGATACCCATTTTCTATGGCTAGGGAAGACTACACACAGGAATTTCTGGGTGTTTTTGTGCTATGGACAGCAAAGGGTTTTGAGAGTAGGTGCAGCGGGGGCACCAAGTTAGCAAAAACCTGACACCATGCAATGCCAGGAGGCTGCGATCCGCATCCCCAGGAGCCTGTGGGTGTGAGATAAAAGTGATGAAATTCCCCCCACCCTTGAACTAACTCCATAGAATGGAATTGGGGGTGCACACAGAGCAAAGGGGTTAACTGCAGGATCCAGAACAGGCAGAGAACTAATAGCCAGAAATAAACTCCAAAGAAAATCGGATGGGAAAATGAGAACTCTTCCCGCACAGGTGGGAGTGGATTACAGACACGATGGAGCAGGTGGCCTTACCTGGAAACCTGGCTTGCTCTAAAGCTCTGTGAAGGGCTGTGCACCCTCCCATGCTCCCACCAATGCCTTCTGGAATCCAGATCATTTTTATCAGGACAAATCCTGCCATGACTTTACCTTGAGAGAAGACACTAGAGATTTGAATCCTTTCAAGGGCAGGGATTCAGGAGTTCATGTCTGGATGTGTCCCTTAGGATAAAGGGAATGGGTGTACTCTCCCAGGAGGTCCTGGCATTGGTCCTGGCATTTGCTGGGCACCGTGCCTCTCACAACAATCTGAGCTGTCGGTATGATGATCCCATTCCCTGGATAAGTAAATGTAGGCCCTGAAAGGTCAGGTGACTTGCCATGGTCACCTGACCAAAGGCCCTCGTGAAGAGACCTGAAGTGGGCGGGGAGAATAGGGGCCCCTGGAGGAAGGCTCCAGATGGAGAGGCTGGCTATTGCACATCTGTGTCCGAGCACCCTGGGGTGGGGCACGAAGACTGTATGAGGGTTGGGGATGGGTGGTGTGCAGGTGGGCCCAGGCCTGTGTGTGTGCAGTAGGTGAAAAAGTGAATAACACGCAGATTTCAAAGGGAAAGGTTAGAGCTGGGAGCTACTTACTGAGCAGGAGCTGATGAAAAATCCCCTGACTCCAGATGCCGTCTCAGAGCCCTGAATGAGGATAGCATGGCTGGGCCTGGGCCTCTCCTTCAGCGGGGGTCCCTGCTTTGAAGTTCTGAGAGCACAGGGAAGGTGATGCTGGGGTCTTTCAGCCAGGACACTCAGCAAGAACACGGGGACAGAGGTGAGAGTGCAGTCCTGTTGCATTTCAAATCAGAGCTGAAACCCAAGTCACCCTCCTCCCCGAGCCCCCACCCACCTGGCACACTCTGTCCTCTCCCTGTTTGGACTCTGTCTGTGCCCCTCATCTATGTCACTCAGTACACGCTACTCCCATTGCTGAGATTTCATCTTCCTTCATGGCTTTCCTTTACTGAGCAGAGACATGCTGCCCATCCTCCAGGCATCCGCTCACCCTAGGCCCGACTTCTTTTAGACTTGTTGCCCAAAGCTCTTCCTCTGCCTGGTGGTGGGGACTGGTCCAGGGGATGAGGGGCTTGTGCAGGGCACCCTGAAATTAAGGGTGTGGTAAGCCAAGGAAGGGAGCAACTGAAAGATGCTGGAAGCCAGACTAACGAAAGAGTGTCCATGAAGTGACAGCCGGGAGCTACAGCCTTTACAGAGCTAGAGACCAGATAGCTTTTGTGGGTCCATGTGACAAAGTTGCCACTACAGGGCCACTGGACACATAAAAAGAAGGCTTCAATCTCACATCATCCTATCATGTATATTTTAGTATCTTAGTAGCCTCTGAAGACCTCAGAGCCTCACTTTTCTCAGCTGCTGCCAGCCTGATCTTTCTAAATCAGATCATGGTGCCCATTGCTCAGAGCTCCTTGGGGACATGACAAAGAAATTCTGGGGCCTGGCCCCTAAACAGTTTCCTGCTTTCACCATCTCAGCCTAAGCCCACACCTATCCCCCAACCTAATAGTGGGGCTCACACTCCTCCAGTCTCCTTCCCCAGCCCTGGTCTCTCAGCCACCCAGGGGCCATGGGTTGGAAAGGGGGAGCTTTGTGGGTGGGTGAGGGGCCTCAGGTCTGGACCATGCTGTGGGATGTGGCCGAGGAGGAGGAGGAGGAGGAGGAGGAGGAAGAGGAAGGGGCCAGAGGTTGGGGATTTGATGCAGGTCCCTGCAGAAAAGCCCACTGGAGTCTTCAGCCCAGCTGCTTGCTAGTAACAGGTGGCTGAAAGGGGTTTGCCCAGGTGGTGGTGAGGAGAGCCCACAGCCCTTAAACCTACACAGCCCAATGATTGCTGCTTTCTCACTTGGGAAGCAAGGCACCCAGGCAATCATCCAAATTAGGGTTCAGGCTCCCTTAATTTCCGGGGGAGCCTCTCCTTTCCTCCCCATCCCTGAAGAAGACACTCATCTTCAAGCTCCCTCCCTTCTCCTCCTACTCTTGAATGGATGGGGGCTGTATATCTTTGCAATAAATACAGTGCACAAGACTGAAGACCTCTTAGTCGTCCCAAGCAGGCCAGTTTGTTCCAGAATGCTCCAGCTCTGCAGCCGGAGTGCGTGTTTGCAGCCCAGTTCCTCCACATTCTGGTTCTGACCTTGGGCAAGTCACTTAACCTCAGGGCCTCGACATCCCTGTCAGTAATACAGTGCCTGACAATAGAACTCAATCCTAGAATGAAAAGGGGCTGATAAACAGCGTCAGGTTCTCAGGACAAAGCCAGGCACACACCAAGTGCTTGGCAAATATGAGTTATGATCATTACTTTTCCATGTGACTGGCTCTTGCCAATGACACTGAGAAGTAATGATGGGTCACTTCCAAGATAAGCTATGTTGGCTGTTGAGGAGCAGGTATGCCTTCTCTCTGCTCTCCTTCCCACCTGCCCGGGGGAAGGTTAGCAGGCTGGCAGGAGCTGAGGACCCTAACTCACCAAATGGGAAATGCTGCCTGCCTGCCCGGAACATCCGGTCTTTAATAAGAAGATCTGATTTGAAACATGTGTGGCTTGTTTGTTACAGCAGCTGAAGGTTTCACAGATGAGTTAATGGTTGAGCAAGGTTTGAAGGGTAGAATTGGGGTAGGGGGAGTTAGAAAGAGAAGCGCAGATTTCAGCCCAGTAGAGAAAGAATGGTTGGATAGTGACAGGTGGCCCCATAATCTCTGTGAGGCAGTGAGCTCCTTGGGCTGGGGAGCACATAAGTAGAGC